TTTTGCCTTTGCCTTTGAGCTGAGTAGCCCCTCTCAGCCCATCTGTGCCCCAGGACATTTGTAGCTTTAAGGGCTAAACACATAGCTCTGACTACCCCTTACACCATGCCTATACCTCACAGATGTTGTTGCACTTCCATTCCCTTTTCTGGGGCATCAGCCTTCTCAGCCTCCATCCCTTTTCTCTAGCTGGGCCTTCTGCTAGGCCTGGCTTCTAGGCACCAACACTTATATTAGGGCAAGAGGACCAGAATTAAAGTCCTTATCTCAGCCCTGCCCTGGGTAATGAGTCCACTATGGCTTAGTCTGGGCCCCCTGGCCCTCTCTCAGCCCCAGTTTGGGCACTGAGCCTGCTCCAGGTCTCTTGGCCCAAGATCCTTCCCCTCTCTAGACTACCTTAGTCCTTCTCTGGGTGCTGGCCCCTCTGGCCTTAGCTGGGCCCTACCCCCGAGAGCTGGCCCCTCTGTCAAGCCACTGGTTACACCTTGAGTCTGAGCCCTGGCAGGACTCAAAGTAATCACATGCCTCCTGGGCAATAATAGGACCTCTGAACTTCGCCCACCCCCCGGTCTAAAACTATAACCCAAAAGAAGTCCTCTGGCTATAACACAAATACCCAGACCTAACCCCAGGTCCTTGGCTGTATCACTCAGCTCCACCCTACCCTGAGTCCTATTTCCCTGCAAATCAGCAGCATTTCTACTTGCATTTATCCCAGGGTAGTCCAGGCATCAACCACAAGCTTCTCTGCAGCTCTCCTGTCCTGGATCTTTTCCCTCAGCAGTTCCCAAAGCTGGACTGACTGATTTGTCTCAGGGCCTGGGTTTATATGGTTGGAAGCCACTGCCCCATTTGGTCATGTCACTCCCTGAGTTACCAAAGGTGCTTCCTGATTTAGGTTGCCAGCTCAACCCCTGGAAAACTTACTGCTGACCTCTGTTGTAACAATAGCTTGTCTCCTGTGCAGGGCACTAGCCAAGTGCACTACTGCTGTGCAGCTGGTTTGGCAGTAAGTACTTGTAGCAGGTAAATCCTGAGGTCTTTGTTCCCTGGCTGGTCATAATGGGCAGCTTTCTCCCTCTTGGGGCTCTCCCTGCTGCTCCTTCACCCTTAAAGTAACAGGAGCCGCTTGGCTCTCTGTTACACGCATGTTCTACAAAGATCATAAAAACATAATACTTACTTGTAGAGGTCAAGGAACATGTTAGGATATAGTGAGCAAATATGCTTTTCAGCCACAGACCTTTCCGCAGTAGGAGAGATAATGCTAGAACAAGAAAACTGTTTAGCAATCAGGTAATGACCCTACATCACCTATTAGATGTAACTGTCTACACTGAGCAGTGCAGTATAAATCATTGAAAAGAAGGGGCTGAATTTACAGTCTGAGGTCCCATCTACAAGTTACACTTAAGTGAGATTAATCAGTTAATCATGCACTAAGTGGTTGCCCAGTTACAAATTCAGTTAATTAATGGTGTGATGAAAAGCAGAACAAGCTGCAGAGTTATTCTACAAAATATGTGTAATATCTTTTATAGTTGCTTCCTATCACACCATTAATTGAATGTGTTGCCAGGGCCCTCTGTGTCTGAGAGTCCTGTCACCTGATCAGATCTTTCAGCTCTGGGGGACTTGGTTCATTTCTGTGGCTGGGAGACCATAGCTTATGAGGTGTCCCAGCCATGGGGGTGCATGGTGCAGCCCCTGGCTGGGGGCCCCCAGCCATGGAAACTTGCTTCTTGCTGGTGCAGAGGAAGCCTGGGAACAAGATCCCCCTGTATGAGTAATAAGATACAATGGGAGCCGATTCATGATTGCGTGCATGACTGTGTCCCATTGAGCCTTTATCTATACTTGTAGAGATGCACTAATGTCCCATTTCCAGTTATTAATCTTGTGTGTTGCTTTCTGTTTAGAAGTTACATGTGATCATCCAAAAGTGGCTGATGGTAGCTTTGTCCCTTCAAAGACAATATACAGAGAAGAGGATGTAATCATAGTGGACTGCAAGCGTGGATTTCACTTTGACTCATTCAGTGGGAACACAGCTCAATGCACTAAGAATGGCTGGATACCTGTTCCAAAATGTGTCTGTAGGTTATTTTTGCATCTTAACAGGTTTATAAAATATCAGAACCAAAAGTGTATTAGAACAAATTTTAATCCAAACAGGTCATGACATTTTGTTTTACAATACAAAATTGAAAGGTATTTGCAAATGCTTTGTTCATTTTACAATGGGTACAAAGTTCCTTCTCAAATGCTTACCCAGATTATTCCCAGTGATTGCAATGAAACAGTAAAAATTGAGCAAGGACTTCATAATTGGGTTCTCCGATGATTCAAGTAAGTGACATCTGTTTAAAACAGAGATAAAAAGAAACTTTGGAGCCCAATTGTTTGGTTATAAAATACCCTTCTGATAATAAAGCTCAAGATTTCCTGACAAACCTGTAGATCCTGAGACAATGAAGAGGAACTTTATTATGTAGATCATCTCATTCTTGTGCATAAGGAACTGGTACCTTCCAGGTTACTGACCTATCCAGAGATCACAGATTGTATACAATAATTTCTAAGGCTAGTAAACATGGTTTTGGGTGAATACCAGAAGGACATGGGGGAGGAGGAACCACCTTTTTTTAGGGTTTTTTTTAGGGGACTTGCTTCAGATGTGGAATACCTAGGTCCCATTCCTCCCTCTCCATCAGCAATTTGAAGCAACTTGCTGCCACAAAAAAAAAAACTCTGCAGCAGGATAGGACTTGTATTTACACATCCTACCCTACTGTGAAGTTTATTAGTTTTGTGCACCCTAATAGGGCTGCACATGTACACGCTGAGACATTTTCTGCATGTTAATTAGTTGACTACACAGTAAACATCTCATGTAGATGCTCTTGATCTTCTTTTCAGTTGCATCAACTTAATAGTGACCTCAAATCAAGAAAAAAAAAAAAGCCCAGCTTGCTTTGGATTAAATGAAATGATTGATCCAAAACAAATTCCTTGGGGTTTTTCAATCAGGGAAGAGAATTTTTCTTGATTCCAGTTCAGTTACCAACCAAAAAATTACTTTTTGCATTTCTAGCATTTTACAGTTCTGACAGGCAGAAAAGGCTTTTGTGGGATGAGAAGTAAGATAATCCAAGTCATAATGTATTTCCAGGGGCATGTCTACACAGGGCATTTAACAGGCAGTTGACTAATAAACTGTGCAGTAAACATCTCAGCATCTACATGTGCCTTTATTAGGGTGCACAAAACTAATAAACTCCACAACAGGGAAGGACTTGTAAATACACGTCCTAACTTGCTGCAGAGTATTTTCGCACACAGCAGCGCAAGTGCAACTGGTGTGGCACGAGGGTGCTTCAGTGCCAGGGCTGCCTGCAAGCTAGCTGCATGCAGAAGCCAGCACCACCACAGCACACTAAACCTGGTTTGAGGAGCCCCAGCTTGTGGGTGGACCCCCATGGTCCCCCTGCCAGCTGGAGCTGCTACAATGCAGCTGGAGCTGCTACAACCCAGCTCAGTGTGCTGTGGTCCAGGTGTACATGTAAACCACACACCTGGGAGCAATAAATTGTGGAGCAATAACCTTTGCAATTTACTGCTGCCTCCTAATGGCACATGTAGATGTGTCCCCAAACTCCTTAATTTGGTTAATACAGCTTCCAAATTATAAAGTGTAAAGCTGGGGAGAAAAAAAGACTTGTGAAAATTTGCAACATAATTATTTCAGTTTCTTTCATGTACCTCATAATAGTTTATTTTAAACCTCTGTTTTTTCCAGTGCGACCTTGTGACTACCCACAGGTAGAAAATATTGAATTAAGTGGCTATTATCAAAGCAACAGAGAACGAGCCTTTCCAGCACAGATAGGCTCAACAGTGTACTACAATTGTGCCAATGGTTATGTAACTGCGACTGAATATTGGATTTTAATCAGATGTACAAGAGATGGCTGGGATCCTGCACCAAAATG